GCGCCTGCACGCGGATCCCCGGCTCCTGGCGCCCCTGGCCCTTGCTGACTTTGAAGCCATAAACCGCGGCGAGAGACCATTGCCCAAGAGCTTTAACTTTGCTGGGGATGTGCTGGACCAGTGGTCCCAGAAGGAGCAGGTACGAGATGGTGGTGTCGTGGGTGCTGGCACCCCTCCCCTCGGTCTGGGCCCACTTGCCCCTTTAATTCGGGCCTCTGGTCCCCTGGGTTCCCCTGGGTTCCCCCTGGGTTCCCCTGGGTCCCCCTGGGTTCCCCTGGGTTTCCTGGGGAGACAGCGCTGCTCTCCCAGGGGAGACTGAGCTCAGCGGTGCTGCCTTTCTCCGCGGCTCCTGGGCTGCTCCGTCCCCCTTCCCCTGCGTTTTCCTCCCGGCCCCACACAGCAGCTCCCTGCTCCCCTCACCTGCTCCGGCTGCTCGCCACCTACCAGCCAGCTGAGCTCCGGTCTGAGGACTGGTCTCCGCTGGAGGGATTAGGAGAGACTCGGGTTGAGGGAAACAAATCCCACAGCGTCTCAGTGTAGCCGCGGCCCTGCCCTGCCTCCCGGGCACCCGGGGCGCACTCGGGGAGGGGAGGGGGTGCTCACAAGCTGGCAGGGCCACCTGTGCTGCCCGGTCGGCTGTGGGAGCCCTGTGCCCAGGTGCTAACGCTCAGTCCCCTCCCCAGTGGCCGGACAGTCTCCTTTCAGTCTCTTATGTGTTTTTTGTTTGTTTAATCCTCGCCCAAGGGTATCTTCCCATTCATTTTTAGGGCGAGTAGAAGGGAGAGGGAAAGACAGAGAGAAACGTCGATGTGAGAGAAAACACATCGATGGGTCGCCCCCTGCACGCACCCTGACGAGGGCCCGGGCCAGGGAGGAGCCTGCCGCCCAGGTACATGCCCTTGACTGGAATGGCACCCGGACCCTAGGTCGGCAGGCTGACACCCCATCCACTGAGCTACACCGGCTGGGGCCGTCCTTCATGCTTTAGCACCTCGCTTGCTACACTCTCTTGTACAGAGAGAGCAGGCAGCAGCTGATAGTCTCTAGATAAGGTTTAAAGGCGCATTCGTTTTCAATACACTTACTGTTCAGTGAACTCTTTTTAGCAAGGGGTACTGATTCCCGTCTGCTGGTGAGCGCGCCCTTCCTCTTAAGGAACTGTGCACAGTCAAAGTGAGTCTGCGCAAGAACCACAGCACAGGTGCAGGCAGGCCCGGCAAACACCCGTGATACTCAGATGCCGAAAGGTTGGGAAATACTCACCTATATTATTCCATCCAATTCCATCGCCCCTGGAGGTTGCAGATAAGGAACTTGACCTTGTAGAAGTTAAGCAACTTATCCAAGGTCATCCGTCCCAAAGGTACCTGACCCAGGCCAACCTCACAGAGCTCGGTCTGCAGGGAGGGCCAGCGCCTCTGTGTGATACAGGCAGCACCTCGGTCCCGGGAGGGAGGAGCACAGGGCTGCGGGAAAAGAGAGGGGGGCTGCGGGAACAGAGGGGGGGCTGCAGAAACAGAGAGAGGGTGCTGCGGGAACAGAGGGGGGCTGCGGGAACAGAGAGAGGGGCTGCGGGAACACAGAGAGGGGGCTGCAGGACCAAAGAGAGAGAGGGGGCTGCGGGAACAGAGAGAGGAGGCTGCAGGAACAGAGAGAGAGAGGGGCTGCGGGAACAGAGAGGGGGGCTGCGGGAACAGTAAGAGGGGCTGTGGGAACAGAGAGAGGTATGTGCATGAATCAAACCTGCAACCTTTTGGTGAACAGCGAAAGGGGGGTTGAAATTAAGGAAGGTTATATGAAAACTTGTGCACATTGAAAAGAAGTATTTTAGAGGCCAGGGAGGGACTGCAGGAGGTTGGCTCTAGGGCGTGTCCGGTCCATCGCACCCAGTCCCAATCAGGGCTGATCAGGGCCAGAGCTAACTTACCGGTTGGAGAGTCTGCCCCCTGGTGGTCAGTGCACATCATAGCGACTGGTTGAACTAACAGTTGGACACTTAGCATATTAGGCTTTTATTATATACTGTGGTTGGCTCTCCAGATGGCAGGTGGGGAGGTAAAGAGCATTCCTGGGAGGGCGGGCGATGATCTCCGAGGCACTGCATGAAGCAGAGGTTGGCAGCACAGGACTCACTCTGTGAAACCTTGGTGAGATGGTTCCTCCAGAATCAGTCACCTGCTGCCTCTGCCCAGCATGACCCTCAGCCCCTCTGTCACCTCGAAGCCTACGCCGCCCTAAGGGTATACGCAGAGGCCACTTGCTTGGGGCACCCATGGGGGTTATTTAGTTGGGACAGAGTTTCACATCAGCGGGCAGAGCTTCATTGCAGGGTTAGGGGGGAGCTTGGAAAACTGGGCTGGAAGCCGGAGTGTCCGTCCCATGAGGACAGAAGCCAGGACGCCCTGAGGACGCACCACACCCAGAGCTGATGGTCCCAGAAAGACTCATCGGCCTGAGGGGGTCACATGCCCAGCCAGTGGCCAGGGAAGGGCAAGCACCAAGACTGTATTCAGTAGGAGAGGGTCCCCCAAAGACAAGCTGGGTGCTGTTCCCTGACCCCCCCAGCATAGGTGCGAGGGCACATGACAGTGGATGTCCCTCTACTTGGTGACGGTCCTAACCCTTCTCCTCTCTCTCATGTGCCTGTGGCCAGACAGGAGAGAGACGGGCCAGCCCCGCCCTGTGGTGGGTGAATGGCAAAGGGGGCGAGGTGAAGTGGAGCTTCGGGGAGCTGGGCACCCTGTCCCGAAAGGCCGCCAACGTGCTCACCCAGCCTTGTGGCCTTGCGAGAGGCGACCGAGTGGCGGTCATTCTGCCCCGAGTCCCGGAGTGGTGGCTGGTCAACGTGGCTTGTATGCGAACAGGTCAGTGTCCATATTTAACTTTTGTAAACCAGACAGAACAGAGCGGGACTGGAAGGTGAGGTTCTGAACAGTTAGTTCTGACTGAAGCAACGCTTACAAGGACAGCAAAACCAGAGCTGAAACCAGGGGCAGCCATGGTGTAATAATAATAATAAAACTGCCTTAATAATAACAATAAACTACCTTAATAATAATAACAATAATGAACTATCTTTGGTATTATGACATTGTTGTTTTGCAAGAGAGGAAACTGAGGTTCAGAGAGGTTAAGAAGTTTGTCCAAAGCCACACAGCTAGAAAGTGATGCCATTGAGATGAAACACACAGCTCTACCAAAGCCAGTGTGAGTGCCGCCGCCTCTTCGCAGGGCTGGACTGTGAAATGTTTGCCCGGGTGACCCCGAAATTAGGTCTCTGGTATTTGAATTCTCCCTGATACAAAAATACAAAAAGAGGCGAAGGCATTCTAGAAGGCAAGGGCTTGTGGAAATATGACGTGGACACAGTTGGAAAACCTCTGCCTCTTTCCAGACAAAAAGGTGAATGTACTCAATGGCACATTTCTCCCAAGGAGTCACTTACACTGTACCCCAAACTCTACAGGGTTCTTTTCTCCTCTAGGACAGAGGTCAGCAAAAACCATGGCCTATGAGTTCGCCATCTATTTTTGTTTTGTTTTTTGTTTTTAAATATATTTTTATTGATTTCAGAGAGGAAGGGAAAAAGAAATAGAAACATCAATGATGAGAGAGAATCACTGATGAGCCCTTGACCAGAATAGAACCAGGGACCCTTCATTCTGAGGGCCGACGCTCTATCCACTGAGTCACACCAGCTAGGGCTGGCCATCTATTTTTGTAAATAACGTTTTACGGTTAAATGGCATGCAGCCATGCTCATTCGTTTACACCGTGTCTGTGGCCCTTTGCGTTCTACGGCAGCAGAATTGCTCATTGAGACAGAGATGCTCCATATGGCCACAAAGCCCAAAATATCTACCACCCAGCCCCGTACAGAGAAAGGTTGCCCATCCCTGCTCTAGAGGGGGATGTTATAAATCAGTGAGCAATAAGAAAGAATATAGTTCTGTAGAGAACACAGAGATGTTTCTGCATGCCCCCTAATGGGGTCAAAAATAGAAAAATTTAGAAACAGCTACATAAAGATGATCAAATAAATTATAACTGACCTGAGACTAAGGTTTCGTGGAGATGTGTTCATTGCTAATGGAAATTACAGCACCTCAACCTGATGGATGCCATGCAAGAGGAATTATAAGGACGTCATCTTGGTGTTTAAAGAAATGCTCTTACTGCCCATGTGAAACCAACAGCAATACATAACATTAATCCACGTTCACTGTGAAAAGGAACTCAATTGTGAGACCAGCTGTGGGTTGGAGGAGTCAGAGGTGGTTTATTTGTGTATTTAGCATTACTTAACATGGTTTATGCAGTTTGTGAATTGTGAAGATTAAAAGTCAACCCACAGACTTAATGGTCAAAAACATTCAGTTCATTAAATGTTAAGTGAGCAGCTGCTTGTTCTCTAACAAAGTTATTACGTCTTCTGCGTGAAGATGGAGAGGCTTGCACACACCCTGTGGCCACGTGTTTTCCTGTTGCTATAAAGGTGTTCGGTCTGCAATCAGCCAGAGCAGCACTCCCTCTCTGCCCCATGGAACCCATCACCGTCATAACGCCACTGAGAGTGTTAACAGTTTCTGAGCTGATAAGAACAAGTGGTTTGCAAAATAAATAATCTTATATTTTTGTATTGAGTGAACAATCTGAGATCCTCTAAGGCAGCGGTTACCAACCGGTGGTCCGTTAGGTCCGAAAGGTTGGAGACCGCTGCTCTAAGGTGCTTTCTGGGGTTTTTAATATATTTTTTTATTGATCAGAGAGGAAGGGAGAGGGAGAGGGAGAGAGAAACATCAATGATGAGAATCATTGATCCCCTGCCTCCTGCACGCTCCCTACTGGAGATCAAGCCTGTAACCCGGGCATGAGCCCTGCCCAGGAATTGAACCCGGGACCTCCTGGTTCATAGGTCAACGCTCAACCACTGAGCCATGCCAGCCGGGCTCTAAGGTGTTTTCTTATTTCCTCTTCATCACATATTTTCCTGTTTTCTCAAGAGGAGATGAGATGTGAGAGCTTTTAAAATATATTCTTTAAATAAAGTCTCCTTCTTAGGAATTCAACTCTACCTCCTCCTACTTAGCTGACTTCAGGGACTCACCAGGAAATAAGTCTCGGGTCGGGTACAAGTCTTGGGAGTCTCAGATACGAATCTCCGAATCCTGTGGCCCGCAGCCAGTGGCCATGTAGCCAGTGGGATTGATTTTAAGTGAGACACCAAGCACATAATAAGCTCAGTCAGTGAGAGTGGCTCTTCCCACACACCCTGCTCCTTCCCTTAGACTCACCTCAGAAAGTACAAACCGCCATTCCACCGCCTTTCACCTCCTCCTCCTCCGCCTCCCTCCACTCATAGGAGCGGGCCCGCCTCCAGCCAGAGTCTAGCATGGCGTGAGGCGTGGGGTGAGCTCAGCCTGAACAGTGCATGGGGGCCGACTCTGCCGCTCACCAGCCCGTCTGATAGGCCACCACTGGCAGCCACTGCGAGCCACGCAGCTGTGTGGAACAGTGGTCTCCAGGCTTTTCTGGCTACGCAATTTACCAGTAAAAATATTTGGGACACACTGCCCCAACCTGCATGGCAGGGTTCAGGATCTGCAGGAGGGGCCGACGCACAAATGAAAAAGCTAGACAAAAATATGAAAATAGAAGGCATTGGAGGCCAGGTAGAAACCTCTCTCGAGGCGAGACACACTGAGTCCTGGCCTTGTCCGCTTTTGTTCAGTTTTAGACACACATCTTGCCGTCAGTAAAGCATGGCAAACAGGTAGCAGACAGAGCATCTCAAAGGTCAGTAAGGTCCAGTAAACATTTACTGGGAGGCTATCAGGTCGGGAGATTGCTTCGAGCCACCACGATCTCAACAGAACCATCGGCGCCTAGCGTCAGCCCTGCTAGCGCTCAAGGCCTCCCGCGCCCTTGTGCACGCTCCTGACAGTGCTGGTATGCAGTGGCTTCCAGCAGCACACACTCCCCATCTGGATACAGCTATTTATACTGTAATATAACATGCATGTTCTAAAATATGTATAAAAACGAGGTAAAAAGAATTTTAATATTTCAATAATTTTTTTAAATTTTAAATTCTTTTCTCATCCCCTGTGGATTATCTTCAAAACTCACTTCGGGGACCGCTAGTTCAAAGTGCCCGTGAGAGTGTGTTAGAAGCCCCAGCGCGATGTAAGTGTGACATGATCCTGATGAAAATGGCGCACAGCAATGGCCCACTGTTTGATGCCTCCTTTGCCAGACACCATTACTTCCTCCATTTTACCGATCGGGAAAGGAAGGCACCGAGAGACCCAGCAACATGCTCCAGGTCACAAAGGCAGGAAGGCGAAGGACAGCTCCCCACGCCCAGGGCCTGCCGGCCTCTGAGCAGGGCTCCAGGATCCCCGGCCCCCAGGTCCAGGGTCCTACGGGGACCCTTGGGAGGGCAGGCAGCCACAGTCTCACCCAGGGGACCACAGTCCCGCTCAGCGGGGGCCTCTCCTTCCCAGGGCTTGTCTTCATGCCGGGCACCACGCAGCTGACCGCCAAGGACATCCTCTACCGGCTGCGGGCCTCCAAGGCCAAGGGCCTGGTGGCCAGTGAGGAGGTGGCCCCCGCAGTGGAGTCCATCGTGTCCGAGTGTCCTGACTTGAAGACCAAGCTCCTGGTGTCTCCACGCAGCCGGCCGGGGTGGCTCAGCTTCCGGGAGTTACTTCAGTGAGTACCCCCGCCCCCCCAGACTCAGCAATACTGTGCGTTGACCTGGGATCCTTCCCAGAGAGAATCGCCTGCTGGAAGGTCCTAAGGACGACAGGGAGGGGTGCAGCTCTGTGTCCTTTCCCTGCACCCCGCCTCGGCCTGTGGTGAGTGCCCCGCACGGGTGGCCCTTGCCTCCCTTGCGGCCCACACTGCCCATCCTCTCCCTGCCTGAGGCCTCTGGCCTCCCTTTTATTCCTCAACCATGCCCTACCTCAGGGCCTTTGCCCAGCTGTCTCTCCTGCCTGGATGCTCTTCCCAGTCCTTCCTGTCAGATTTTGGCTCGAATGTCTTCCCCTCCATGAGCCGTCCCTGGCGCCCATCTAGGCAGGAGTCCACGCCACTCCCGAACGTGGGTGCTGTTCTCTTCACAGCCCTCGACGCTCCCTGAATATCATGCCCTATCATTTTCCCGGTTCACTGGTTTTCTCCTGTACCCCAGAGATGGGCAAATTGGGAACCATGGCCAATTCTGGCAGGACAACTGCTCTTGTAAATAAAGTTTTATTGGAACACAGCCACACGCATTGTCTACACATTGCCCACGTCTTACCAGAGCCAAGTTGAGCAGATGCAACAGGGACCTTAAGGTGCACAAAGCCTGGCCTCTGCCGACACAGCTCGCCGACTCCTGCCCGCAACTGAGCCCGCGTGGGCAGAGGCTGCTGTTGGTCACTCTGCCCCCGTTCCCCACTTAAGTTGGCTCCTGAACAGTGTTTACCAAAGGAATGACCAGAACCGGTCACACCCCTCACTCCTTCACATGTGAAATGGGGCGATGCCCTGCACAGAGTCTCAGGGGGCCGAGGACAGCATCGCTCATGTGAGAAAGTGGTTCCTAAACTGCAAAAAAGGGGCGTGAAATGCTAATGGGTGGTCTGGTCCTTCAAACAGCTGTTAGATGGCTCGTGTTGGAAAAATCATTCTGTAGAAATTTATAGGAAAGGGCATGAAACCCCATTGAGTCACAGCAGTTTCCTTTGTGGGAATGAAGTTTTTTTATCCGACTAGTGAATATAAACCAAGTCCGATTGGCCAACCCCCAAATCCTGCCCCCAGGGCCATGCCAGGGGTGCTGTTGTGTGTTTTACTAGTATAAGCTGTTGTTGTGGCTAGTCAGGTGACATCGCTGAGCCTGTGTCTCTCCGGAAAGCAGGAGGCAGGGCCTCCCTCCGGGTGTGGAAGCGGCGAGCGGTGAAGCGCATGCAGGGCAGGAGCGGGACGGGCCAGTGGTTATCGCCACCTCCTGCTGTCTTCGCATCGAGGTCCTCGTACGCAGGCCCTGGCCGTGGCTTCAGAGGCCGGCTGCACACCCCCTTGGGAACGTGTCTCTAACACGCTCCCCGACACACGTGTGTGCACTTGTTTACAAATCAGGACTGTGTGCTTCTGTGCACCGCACGGGTGTAAAAAAGAAACATGTGAAAGGACTGGTCACAGACTACATGCAGCTCAGAGTTCTCCTGTTTTCCTCTGAGGCAGCCCCGGCTGCACACAGGCCCTAGCACCCCACACCCCCGTGCCAGGGACCCCATCTTCAACAGCCTGCAGTGTGCGACTAGGCCCCGGGAACCTTAAATGGGCCGCAAAGCTGACGGAAGAAAAATGTCTTTGAACTCAAGCAAAGTTAGCGTGGGAAACTTCACACTGGGGGTGTTTGCCAGGACAAAGGGAATGCCCACTGGAATGAACAACTTTGGCGTGTCACGCTCCAAAAGGACCACAGACTGTTTCTCTGAGCCACGGAATGGAGAGCCGGCCTGCCAACCAGGCCAGCTGTTCAGAAATCCACACGCAGCACGAGTTGGCTAATTTCACGTCATCGGGGTCAATCTGTGCAGGAGCTCCCCGCCTTCTGCCTCCCAGAGACAGAAGCTGTGCGCACTGTCAGGATATTTACAACAGGATGTGGAAAAGGTCAAATTATGGGCCAGACTGAGTGTCTCCTTTCCCCTCCTGGGAGCAAGGGCCCTTGGCTGCGGGTCCAGATCCCTGGATTCTGTCCTGGGGACTGGAACAGCTCCCAGCAGAGGAACCGTACAGCAGGGTGGATGCTGGAAACACCCTCGGGTGTGCAGAGCGTGGGTGGCTGGGGCACGAAGCGTGATCCGCAGCGAGGCAGGGGCTGGTCCTCCTAGGCCCTCACCTGCTCAGTCTTGACCTTCACCCTACAAACAAGGGAGGCCACTGACAAGTTTTTGGAAGGGACGTGTCAGGTCAGCCCTGGTCTAGATGGCGTTCTCCGGCAGCCGCGTGGAAGGAGGAATTGCGGAGGACCAAATGGGAGTCAGAGAGACCGTCCTAGAGCCTCAGTGGGGCCAGACGAGGAGCGTCTGACTCTGGTGAGTGGGACGGAGGGAGGAGGCACGAAAGCCCCGAGGGACCTGGAGGTTGGTGTGACCTGGAGGATGAAGGCAGGCGCCCAGCTGACCTGCTGGTTAACGTGGGTGACTGCAGGGTGGCTCCCATGGGGGGAGAGAGAGTGTAGAGTGGGGCAGGCTGAGATGGCCTGTGACCATCCAGATACCCAGCAAGTGGAGATGTGAGTCAGACCCAAGGAGATAAAGGTGCAACTCTGGACGTCGTCGGCATTGAATCGGTTCTGAAGGATCTGGAAGGCTATGACTCAAGCCTCCGAGAAAGGGAGGCACACCTCGGAGTCCTGCTGGAAAATCGCCTGTCACTCACAGACTGTCATAGCGCTTCTTTTAGTGAAAAAGAATGAAAAGCCTCTCTGCAAGCGTCTTTACGCGGCTTGAGAAGCATCCGGACCAGGAGGTGTTGTGTTCACAGGACCGGACGCCGTGCGCGCTGCACCCGTCTGAGCCCGTTCTTTCCACTGAAAGGAGCCAACGCAGTGGATGAGGTTGTGTCTTGTTCTGTTTCTTACTTTTTGGGGGAAGAGGCAAGTTAGCAAGAAAACCACTTTCATGTTTTATGAAACCACATCGGACAGTATAGCGGGTGGCCATACAGTCAGTCCTCACTGTTTGCGGTCTCAATGGCCGTCTTATTCGCTTGTCAAGATGAATTAAAATGGTGTCCTCAGCCCTATTCCCTTCAGCCCAGGAAACTGAAACTACGATTCAAGAGTCTCACGGGCTCGGAGGCATTTTATCGGTTATCTACTGAGGAACAAAGCTCGGTGTCAGAGAGCGACCCCTCTGCTCAGGACGCTGGGCTGGTGTCCGCGCCGGCTCCACAGGCAGTGGGCACCCGTGGGGCTGGGCGACAGGCCAGGCACTGCCCCGCGGCCTCTCTCTCAGCGGCACCTCTGAACGTTCTCAGTGATGCCCGCTCCCCCCAATGAAGGTGAACATGAAGCCCTGAGCGAGGCCTGGGCCTGGCGCCAGCCCCGCCTGCAGGGAGGACCGGGCGGAGGCCTGCGCGGGGCTGCAGACCAGCCACTGGACAGCGGCTCAGTTAGAATGCTCTTGGCTTAGCAATGGGAGAGCAAGCAAAGCGCACGGACAACGCTGCCTTCTCACACGGTGGGGCTGTGGTGAGAGCGGGCTGAGTGGTTTGATGATTGACGAGTTCACTCGTCTTCCCACCAGGCCACCTGGGTGTCTGCCAACCCCGGGGGACCCCAGCATGGCTGGGTAGTCCCAGACCCGAAGGCCAGAGAACAAGACGGGGTGGGGGTGAGGGCAGCAGCCCTTCCTCCTGGCTCCTTCTAGAACAAGGAAACAGTCCCCCTAAAACCTGAGTCTCTCTGGCCCGGACTGCGTCTTGTGCCCATCCCTACACCATGTTCTGCTTAGGCTAACCAGACTCAGCCCGCCCCTCCCGACCCCCAGTCCCCACGGAAGCACATGGCTGCCGTAGCCCTGACACAGTCAGTTTCACCAATGCAAGGAGGATGGGATCTCTCTGGTAAGCAATTAACTGTATCTGTCAGCGCTATTGAAGATATTAAATAAAAACTATTAAAAACTTTTATTCTAATACCAAAGATCTTCCTTTAAATCATAAAAACTCCTGAAATGCTAATAACAATTTATAAAGATTCAAAACGTAAAAAAAATCATAGATTAAAAACACACTGAGAAAAAAATGTTTAAATAAAGTACACATCTCTTTTAAAAAATATTTTTATTGATTTCAGAGAGGAAGGGAGAGAGAAAGAGAGATAGAAACATCAATGATGAGAGAGAATCATGGATCAAATGCCTTCTGCACGCCCCCTACTGGGGATCAAGCCTGCAACCCGGGCATGTGCCCTGACTGGGAATTGAACCGTGACCTCCTGGTTCATAGGTTGACGCTCAGCCACTGAGCCAGGCCAGCTGGCATTTCCCTCTTTTTTTTTTTTAAATTGAAAATGACCTTGGCCATGCCTTTGGCCTACGGGGCAGTGGAGCTTAGAGAGAGGTAGCTGTTACCCTCAGCACTGGTCTGCACAGCCCCCCTTGGGTGCCTGAGAAAGCCTCTCGGGAGGCTTTGGATGGGGTTCTGCCTATTAACTGTTTTCGGGACCAAGAGGGCACAAGTAGGAGCAAAAGGGCGGCAGAGCGGAGCTGGGTTGCTGTCATCAGCCACATCTGGTCCATGCCTTACAGATGCGCTTCCGCAGAGCACAGCCGTGTGGAGACGGGCAGCCGGGAGCCGGCGGCCATCTACTTCACCAGCGGGACCTCGGGCTCGCCCAAGATGGCCCAGCACTCCCACAGCAGCCTGGGCATCGGGTACACTCTCTGTGGAAGGTAGGAGGAACCGCTGTCTCTGCCCCCTGGCCCTGGGCTGTTGACTCGCGTCTCTAATGGCCTCACTGACACCCCTGCTGCGTGGATACCTCCATGTCACATGTACAAAACAGCTCTCGGGGCCCCTGCCAACCTGAGCTCCATGAGCGGCCGCTCGTCAGGCAGGAGCTCAGGAACCCGCCCAGCTCAGTCCCCACGGGAGACTCCATCTGGCTCCTCCTCTCCGCCAGGTACATTGACGCGCCCAGAAAGACCTTCCTAGGTGTCCCCACACGGTCCCCCACCCCCTTCATTTTCCTCACAGCACATCTCTGTTTGCACAGTAACTCATCTTGTGCTTATTCACCGTCTCACCCCTAAAACAAGAGCAGAAATCTGGCCAGTCTTGCTCACTGCTCGTAGCAGAGTGCCTGGCACATAGTGTTTGCTCAGTAAATATTTGTTGCATCAATGGACAAACTCAGGAAATGATGCCAAGCCCTGCCTCCCACTCCACTCTCAGACCACCTAGGATTCGGAGCAGTCTTCTAACAGAAGTGGGAGGTAGAAGCATCACCTTCCTTGGAGCTCCTTTTGACCCTTCTTTGTAGTCATTGAGGCTCCTGCCAGCCCTCAAAGGCACCAGTCTGTGTGCTTCCCTGGCTGTTCTGTTCGGTCTTGTTGCTTCCCCGTATCATTTAGGTACTGGCTGGACCTGGAGTCCTCGGATACCATATGGAACATGTCCGACACTGGCTGGATCAAGGCCGCCATTGGCAGCGTGTTCTCTCCCTGGCTGCAGGGAGCCTGTGTCTTTGTGCATCAGATGGCCCAGTTTGACACTGACACCTTCCTAGATGTAAGTCGTAACTTCTAGCTACAGCTCTCCTTTGTCTTCCCTCAAAAAGAGAGAGAGAGAAATGAATCCCCAGGAGAGAGGGGAGTGGGGAGAGAAACACGGATCAGTTGCCTCCCGCACATGCCCTGACCAGAGATCAAAATTAAACCTGCAACCTGGGTAAGTATCCTGACTGGAACTCGAACTTGCCACTCTTGGTGCTCCGACCCACTGCGCCACACTGGCCGGCCAGTCACTCTTTTGTAAGACAGACTCTTGGGGGCTTTTGAATGTATTTCACCAGAGTGAAGAGGGCACACCCACCACACTCTTAGGCATAAAACCCACTCTTGTGCTTCAAATTGTTCAGGATTTGCTATTGTCGCTACATCCGTGGCTGCTGAAGAATCTGACTCTAGGTAACAAATTAAAAGTCTCAAGTCTAAACAAATCTGTGGCTTCTGATTCGTGAAACGAAGACCATGACTGACAAACCCAGAGCCCAGTGTGGGGGAGGCTGGGGCGGGGCTGCCTTCTGTCAGAGCAGCCCCTGTTGCTCCCTAGGAGAGACCCTGCTAACTCAGGACCCCGTGGCCTGGAGCCAGCAGCCCCTCCGCGCAGCCAGGGTGCAGAGCAGAGGCCCTGCCTTTAACCTTTAGAAAAATGGGACTCAGGCCAATTATTCTTCACCATGAAACACCAATTAGGTTTAACGGAATACATATCATTAAATGAACACCACACCTGTGTGGGCCGGCGGGCTCTCCTCACCCTGCTGTTTCGCTAGGTGGCCTGACGAGATGGCTTGCCATCTTAACAGGAATGTCGGAATGTAGAACTGGAATCTCACAGCAGGTGGACACAGCGTCCTGCGGTAGACAAGTTAACTCTGCAGTTTCAAACCTGCATTTGTAAAATGTGTGTGTGTGTGTATAATCCTCGCCTAATATGTTTTTGTTGATTTTAGAGAGAGAAGAAGGGAGTAGAGAGAGAAACATTGATGTGAGAAACATTGATTGGTTGCCTCCCAAGCACACTCCTACTGGGGATCAAACCCAAAAACTAAAACTTTAAAAGAAATCCATAGATTAAAAAAGCACTGAGATACATGTGCCCTAACCCAGAATCAAACCCATGAACCTTTGGGACATGGGACAACGCTCCAACCAACTGAGCCACACTTGCCAGGGCTAAAATAAATATATTTTTATAAAATATTAAATATTTTATACTTAAAATGTTTTTGTTTAAAGGCACCTTTAATATATCATGCTTAATGTAATATTATGTAAGATCTATTAACAATGTATTAATTGTTAATATTATTAATTGATATATTAATATGTTATGCAATTAATCATATTTAACATAATATTACATAAAATATTAAAATAAGGACATTCTTGCCCTAGCCTATTTACTCAGTGGTTAGAGCGTCAGCCCTTGGACTGAAGGGTCCCGGGTTCAGTTCCGGTCAAGGGCACCTACCTCGGTTGCAGGCTAGATCCTAGCCCCAGTCAGGGTGCGTGCAGGAGGCAACCAATCCATGTGTCTCTCTCATATTGATGTTTCTCTGTCTCTCACCCTCCCTTCCACTCTCTCTCTAAAAAAAAAGAACATTCTTATTTTACAAATACAGTGGGGCCTTGACTTAGGAGTTTAATTCGTTCTGAGACCGAGCTCGTTAAGGAGCTTGTTAACTCAAATTACTCTATCAACTCAATGCAAAAAATCGGCCGAGAGACAGCTGGTATCTCAAAAGACTCGTTAGTCAGGGCACTCCTAAGTCAAGGCCCCACTGTACAATGGGTGCATTTTAAGTGCTATGAAAGCATTTATGGATTTACACTATTCTCAGTCAGAGACACTCCACTTCCTGAGAACAGCTGGAATCCAGGATGCAAGCAACACAGTAGAAATGCTTGCTTACAGTGAGAGTCATACTTGGTCCATGACACCCAGTGGCCTAGACACCCATCTGGAGGGCGTGCTCTCAGACACTTACGTCCAATGCAGATAGACTGTCGATCCTGGGACAGAGTGGGCCCTGTCTAGAAAGAGGACCTCAAAACATTAGTATTTCTGCAGATTTGAGATGCCTTTGATTTAAGGAGCTCGAGGCATAAGGAGCCCTGCAAGTCTGAAACAGCTAATCAAAGGCCTGAAAGACCCTTGGTCATGCATTTCACCCACCCACTCAACAGGGCTGCAGTCCTTCCTAGAAGCAGTGCTGGAAGGTTCGCTTACAGGTCCAGGTCGGTGCTGTCCAGGGGTCAGCACTTCCAAGTTCCTCCGTAAGAGGTCATTTGCGGCCCCAAAGTAGAATAAACCAGTTTGGGGTGGTTCTCAAATTCAACAGCTCACTTTTTGTTGAATTTGATTGTGCATGTCTATTACTGTAACATATACATATTCCTTCCAATAATTGAAAATTCCCAACAGACGTACAGTCGCTAGTGAGAACTAATAAACATTTGCTTTGTTATTCCTATGAGACAGACACAGAGAATTGAGGGCTGTAGACGTGGGCTCTGGGCGAGGCCTTTAATTAGCCGTGTCTGACACCTGTGTCTCTTGTCCAGACGCTCACCACTTATCCCATCACCACCTTGTGCTGCGCGCCCACTGTGTACCGGATGCTCGTGCAGAAAGACCTTAAGAGGTACGTGGGCAGGAATCTGAGCTACAAGCAAAGCTATAATGGGAGCAAGACCGCCTCTCCGCAGGCGTCCTGTGCGTGTGGAGGCTGAGCAGCATTCCTGGCCTCCACCGACTGGGTGCCAGCAGACTCCCACTCCACCAGCGTGGCCATGAAAGGGGTCTCCAAATAGTGCCTAACGCAGGGGGGGGGGGGGCGGGGGCTTGTCTCTGCCAGGGGCCATGTGGGTGTTTATAGCATCGTTCACAGGCCACGCAAAATTATCAGCTTAAAGACAAGCTGCTGTGTGTAGTCCATTTAATAACGCACCCTAACGCCTCAGCGGGGCCAAGACCAAGTGACTTCTAAAGCCTCTACGGCCGGGGCCGGACGTTTCCCACCCCTGGTAAAATCTCGGGGAAGCGGGAGGGACAAAATGCCCCCCCAGTTTAAGAATAACAGGCTTAGCCTCTAGGAGCCATTGACCATTTCCCAGGGACACCCAGTCCTACAGTTCCAGACCTCCCACCCCTCCCACCCCGAGAAACAGCCGTCACTACATTCATGCCGCCTGCACGAGAAGCCCGTGACGTCTTGTGATTCGAAGATTCTACTCAGTTTGGCCAAATCACCTGAACGCCCAGTGGAGTTCCCACGTTCGGAGGAGAGAAACGATTTAAGCGGCGCAGGCTCGCCCGGCCTCCGCTCCCCGAGGTGTGGACGCCAGAGGCGAGGCTGTGAGAGGCCAAACGGGCAGAGTCAGCATCAGCTCCAGTGTGGCCCCAGATGCAGCCTCGGTCCCGGTCCCGGTCCCGGTCCCAGTCCGGGTCCCGTTTCCGGAGCCACTGCCGCTGCTCAGGGCCGTGGGGAGGCCACTCGCGGCTGCACAGCCTCGGCCGTGGGAACCCCCCGGGTCAGAGCTCGGCTGCTCGGGATCCCACGGGCCCTGCGGTTAGAAGCTCCAGCTCCACAGTCAAAAGGCGCGGCGGTGCCACTTCCGAACAGTGCGCCCTCAGGCCTCGGTGACCCTGATGGCTCCCTACCGCCACCCGCAGAGGACGGAGAGCCTCGGGCTGTGGCGAGGCCGCAGTGCCAGCAGCTGGGGAGGCAGCCGCTCCGCCCTCCGCTCAGCCTCTGTGTCCTCCGCTGTGAAAGGGGCTCGGGTTAGGAGATGCTCCGGAAGCCCTTCAGCCAGCCCGCGCTCAGCCACTGCTAGCGGTCGTCTGTCACCTGTGAGGCTCACGGCCAGGGGCGACCGGCAGCATCAGCATTTCCTCCTGTGTCGCTCCTCCTTCCTCGCCTGCTAAGGTGCCTGCTCTGCCAGGAAACTGCCTGGAATGGCGTGTGGCAGGACCGAGGAGCTCAGCCAAAGCTCCTCCAGTCACCCCTCGGGAGGCGTGCTCCCCAGCCTGTTTGCTTGTGGCTAGGACATCCTAGTTATCTTGTGATGAAAGCCACCCAGCGCCCCCACCCCACCCCCACCCCCACCTGACGCAGCTCTTTGTCCCTCAAGATACAAATTCCTGAAGCTGCGACACTGCTTGACGGGAGGGGAGCCCCTCAACGCAGAGGTGCGGGAGCAGTGGAAGAGGCAGACGGGGCTGGACCTGCACGAGGGCTACGGACAGACGGAAGTGGTGCGTGCAGGGGGCGCAGCTGCGCCCCTGGAGTGTCCCCGTCATGCTTGAAGTTCTTAGGGCGCTCCTTCCCCTGCCAGTAGTTACCAAAACTTCTGAATTACCCGGTCAGGGCTGGCGAGGGGAATTGTGATGGTCCCTTACAGGCTTCCTGTCTCCTCCCACTCAGAAGTTTCAGAGGGCGAGGGGTGGCAGAGGTTCAGAACTGTGCAGCTCATCTTTCTTTATTATTATTGTTGTTGTTATTTATTGATTGATTTTGAGAGAGGGAAACATGGACCTGTTGTTCCATTTAGTTGTGCATTCATTGGTTGATTCTTGTATGTGCCCTGACCGGGGATCAAACCCACAACCTTGGCGTATCGGGAGGATGCTCTCCAAGTGAGCTCCCGCCAGGGCTCCGCAACTCATCTTCCCATCACACTGGGAAGGACCCAGAGGGCCCCAGTGAGGAGTTCATCCCAGGTGCCTGTCAGGTACCTCAGCCTAAAGGAGTGGTCGTCACCTGTGGGCCTCCAACCTGCAGTGCCAGCGGCATGTGGGAATTTGGTGGAAACACAAATTCTCAGAATCCCCTTCCCGACACCTACTGAGTTAGAAACTCTGGGACAGGCCCAGAACCTGTGTTTTAACAAACCCCAGGTGATTCTGACAAACACTCAAGTTTGAGAACCACCAGTCTAAAGTACTTTAGAATATGAGCTTGCGTACTGGGAGAGCTGGTGCTTGCATACTGGGAGAGCTGGTAAAAACCGAGTCCCGGTTGCACTGTCGTAATATAAACAGCTGCTGAAAATGAATCTTTGCCTATTTATATAAAATGTGTTCCCTACAGGGCATCATTTGTGCCAATCTGAAAGGAGAGGAAATTAAACCGGGCTCGATGGGGAAGGGAGTCCTGCCCTATGATGTCCAGGTGGGTGACACCGACTGGTTCAATAAAGAATGTTTCCTGTCGTTTTCCGCTGACCATTATATAACGATTCCTAACCCATTTTCACTTTGTGGGGAAAAAAAACAAAGAACCTAAACTGCTTCTTTCATTCTAGATTATAGATGAAAATGGCAACGTCCTGCCAACTGGCCAAGAAGGAGACATTGCCCTCGCGCTGAAGCCTTCCCGGCCCTTCTCTTTCTTCTCAGAATATGTGGTAGGAGAATGAGAACGGCTCTGCTTGGATGGAAGAGCTGGCTGGGGATGCAGACAGACTGGGGCCCAGGTTTACCACCATGTTGGCATGGAACCTTGGGCAAGTCCCAGCCTCCAAGTCTACTCAGCTGTGAAGGGGGAATAGTTTCTGTCTCCTCGGAGTTTGTGAATATTAAAGTGCGCGGCGAGAAACCGGTGCGGTGGCTGCGGGGAGGGGGGCGAGGGCCCTAGCGGTGAGAGATTTACTTGTTATATTCTCGGGCCTCTGTGTTCTATACTATAAACTACCTTCTTAAAAATTCGCTTCTTTTAGAATTAGGATGTGCAGTGTATTAGTCACTTCGTGGGCGCCAGGCCCCTTTTTCTGTTCAGACCAAATTAACCCCCGGGTCATCTTTAATTCCTAGGACAATCCAGGGAAAACCGCCGCCACGATAAGAGGGAATTTTTATGTCACTGGAGACAGAGGCGTGATGGACAGTGACGGGTACTTCTGGTTTGTTGGCAGAGCTGATGACGTCATCATCTCCTCCGGGTTGGTACCTTTGCCACAGCCAGAGCGTAGCCCCTCGTCAGGGGAGCCTTTGACCCGGTGGCGCAGGCTGTACCTGCCTTCTCTCCCTCCAGGTACCGCATCGGGCCCTTCGAAGTAGAGAGCGCCCTGATTGAGCACCCAGCAGTTGTGGAGTCGGCCGTGGTCAGCAGTCCAGACCCCATCAGGGGAGAGGTAGCGTGAATGCCGCTAATGAAAGCAGCAGCTTCATACTTCCAAGTTCTGTCCATTTGGCCACTCTAAAGAGTGAATCAAGAGTAGCATGTAATTCTCTTATGAGGCACACATGTGGCAAAAACATACACCGGCATCCACATCCCACGTGAATTGTGTCCCATAGGGGATGTATTAGGATTCTTTTGGTGGCAAGTGACAAAAATTCAACTCAAACTGACTTTTTAAAAAAAGGAATTTACTGGCTGACCACAAGAGAGGCCTACAGGTACAGCCACACCCAATGGTTCACATGCAGTTGGCAAAACCTAGCCTCTCCATTTACTGGCTCTGCTGCTCTTCATGGTGCCTCCATTTGGGGAAGGGGGGCCTTTCTACTCAACAGCAGCCAGATATGCACAGCTTCACCACGTCAGGGAAGGGGACGGCTTCCCAGCCAAGTCCCAAGCAATTCCCACAGTCCATGTGCCTGTCTTAGATCTCACGTCTCTCACCGAAGTGGACTGGCTAGACCTGGATCAGGTGCTGGAGGCAGGAGTTAGAGTCAACGCCCCCAGAGGTTAGGTAACCCTCCTCAGGAAAGTCGGGGCACTGTTACCAAAAAGGGGGCCACCGATACTGCACAAGCAAGGGCTGCAGGTTCTACTGTATGCACATTGTCATGGTCTCAGAATGTATTTTCTCACAGAAACAAAGCAAACAGGAGATGCTGGCCAGGTTGCCAAACAAGCTCCAAAAGCCACCCTAGGACCCGATGACAGGAAACTTGGGGGGCGACTGCAGTGGCTCAGCTCTAGGAGGAAGCGCGTGGGATGGAAGGGAGATTCCCTTCCTTATAGACGTTTCCTGCACTCAGTAGGGCAACATTTCAAAATCACTTTGCCTGTCAGTATCCTCCCACAGCTCTTTCTCTACCCTCACATAGCAATGCCCTTGCAGTGCCCCTGGGCCCCATACCCGCATACCCTGTACCACTTCCACACTCAGTGGGTTCCTTTCTCCAAAATATTGTTCTCCTGCCACCATCTTCTCATCCTCTCAACATAACTGATTTCAGCTGAACTTCAAAAGTAAACACAAATTAGAGTCAATGTGTGAATTAATAATTTAGACTATACTTGCCAACCCTCAGAATTACCTAACTGGTGGATCTTAAATAGTATTCCAGGAGAAGCGAAAAATAGCAGGCAAGCAAGACCTTTCAAAGGTAGCTCAGTCTTCCCCGGGATTCGATCTCCCAGCGAACACCATCCCCCTTCACCCTCCCAAGACCCTTTCACACCACATTCTCCAGAGCCTCCCTTTGTCCCACTCATGCTCCTAGCGGTGTAGGTTTGATGGAGTGAGAGGGCATCTGTGAGACTGCCATGCAAACACATGTGTGACATGGAAGTAAGAAACCTCCAGCTTTACTGAACCCCTGGCTCACGCTCACAGACCGTTCCCCGGGGTTACACCTCCAGCCTCGCTGTGCCCACGCTGTTCAGACTCAGGAATCTGGCTTCGCACTCCTCACTCAGCTGCTACTTGTGAACCATGAGTGCCTGTGTCCTGGTTGGTTCTCAACTCTTGATGTGTCTTAAAACAGACTTAGTGATATCAATTCATTCTCCTCCTGCAGGTGGTGAAAGCTTTTGTTGTCTTATCTGTGCCCTTCAAATCATCTGACCCAGAGAAATTAACTCTTGAACTTCAAGAGCATGTGAAAAAAATAACCGCACCGTACAAATATCCAAGAAAGGCAAGTATAAGTTAAGTGTATGTGACCAAACAAGGGTCTAAGCTAGTAGGTATATAGATCTTATTAGCTTTTTAATTTTAACTTTTTAAATCTTTATTGTTGAAAGGATTACATATGTCCCCTTTTTCTCCTCATATACAGAAGATATGCATTTCAATTTGTTAAGCTCTAGGATCAGGGGTCCTCAAAGTTTTTAAACAGGGGCCAGTTCACTGTCCCTCAGACAGTTGGGTAATCTTTTTAAAATCCTGATTTCTGAGCCTCACCCTCCAGAAATTCTGTTTCTTTGTTATGGGGTGAGGCCACAACATTAGTAACAAAGAAACAGAATTTCCAGAGGATGAGGCCCAGAAATCAGGAATTTAAAAAGATTCCCAGGTGATTCTAATGTGCAGCCAAGGTTGAGAACCACTGCTCTAGGAGTTTTGCTTTAAAATATTTTATACTAGGACATTACAAATGCTTGACAAACCAGAAGTTTTAATTAACTCTGCAATATTGAGTAACTAGCAGGAAACCTCATAGGACTAAGTCAGTCCCATTCCATATGAGGGGGAAAATGGTGGCAAATTGTTCCTAAAGACAATACCCAATTCAGCTACCAGAGTGCTCTTGGGCCTAATATACTCACAAATTCAAAGCACAGGCCTTGTAAGACAGCTGGGACAAGTCCAATGGAATCCAGTGTCTCATGATGTTTTGGTGATTAGGTGGAGTTTGTTGAACAGCTCCCGAAGACCATCACGGGGAAAATCAAGCGCAATGTCTTAAGAGACCAGGAGTGGGGACGGACATAGCCGATGGAAGCGAGCGTGAAGTACTGACAGGGTGGCTTTCTGTTTCCTGATGGTCCAGTGACAACTTTCTTAAAATGCGTAAGATTTTTCCTGAGTCTGTGTTTTGTAGTTAGTCAAAAATAAATAAAAATCTAAATATTGGAAGAATATTGTTATGATAACTAAACTGACACAGGCAATTATTATGACTTATAGTGTTTAAAATTGCAGGACTCAAATGATTGCTTGGAAATACACAGTGGACAATGAATTTATTTTGTGCCTGATTAAACAAAAATAAAGATTAGAAGTATTCAAAGAGAAATGTTCAAGACAGAATTCTCCTTAACATTTTTACATATTACTAATTCTTTAAGAGGGATTAAAATATTAATGTTTAAGTGAGAAATAAACATGTAATTCAAAAGCCAGTAAGTAAATTTAATTAAGTACTATACTACTAGTTATCATTCTGAAGCAAATTCACTATAAAGTATCTGAAACTTGGACCACTTAAAAGTAATTATTAAGAATAAATTTTTGTTTCTTTACTTTTTAAGACAATGTAGTAATTATTATTGATACACTAGAGGCCCGGTGCATGAAACTCATGCACTGGGTGGGATCCCTAGGCCCAGTTGGCGATCAGGGACCATCAAGTCCCCTGCCTCCCTGCCTCCGAGGCAGCAACCTCAGCAACCCACCGATGCCACCAGTCACCCACCATGTTCCACGTTGCCCCCTGGTGGTCAGCACATGTCATAGCAAGCAATCGAACTTCAGGTCTCCCCGTTGAACTCCGAGGGGGCACTGCATTATTAGCCTTTTATATATATCCTAGAGGCCCAGTGCACAAAAATTTGTGCACTCAGGGGAAGGGGGGGTCCCTCAGCCCACCCTTTGCCCTCTCACAGTCTGGGAACCCTCGGGAGATGAACCCTCGGGATAACCACCTGCTGGCTTAGGCCTGCTCCCGGGTGGCAGAGGGCAGGCCCAATCCCTAGGCGCAGCCCCTGGTCGGGCTCAGAGCAGGGCCAATTGGGGAGTTGGGGCACCTTCCCCTGTGTCGCTCAGGGTATAGCAGACTGGGAGGTTGTGATGCCACCCTCAGTCATGCTCAGGGTAGGGCCGATTGGGGGGTTGGGGCACCGCCCCCTGTCACAGTCAAGGCAGGGTCGATGGGGAGGTTGCGGCGCCACCCCCTGTCACGCACAGAACAGGGCCAATCCGGGGGTTGGGGCTCCTTACCCTGTCATGCACAGAGCAGGGTCGATCAGGGGGTTGGGGAGCTCCCCCCTGTAACTCAGAGTAGGGCCGATAGGGGAGTTGGGGCACCGCCCCCTTG